CTCTGATGTCAGTTCCCTGACAGCATACTAGGCGCAGAGGACTTTTTTCCCCCCTTTCCATTTTTTGAAGCAACCAGATCTAGTTTGTCAATCCTGGGTTTATAAATGGGTCAACAGCTCCATAACAACTGGATTCCACAATTCTCTGAGACTCCATCATGAGAACTTTAGGTTGTTAAGGGTGCTGAAAGTTGCTATATTGGTCACAGAGCTACGATTTGCAGAGTTCCTGGGAAGGTAAATAAATTGGTAAAACTCTCTGGGAATGGTAGCTCTCCGAGGGGAGCAAGGACCTCCTAATGACAAACTACAGGTTCCAGGAACTGTAGGGTTGCCATATTATTATTATTATTATTATTATTATTATTATTATTATTATTTCCAAAGGTAAAAATCCTGACAAAAAAGGTATGGCCCCGCAAAATTTAACCCTACCAAACCCCCAGACATTTGCTTAAAATTGAAAAAATCCCCCTGGATGGGCATGTAGGCCCCCCAAAAGAGGACATGCCCAGGATTTCCCAGACGTATGGCAACCCTACAAAGTGTGAATCAGACACACACACATGAATGAAGCAAAGCCCTGTTGCCTGCCCCTATGTGGTGATATATTGAACTGCAGGTGACAGCATCCTTGAGGAAGTACTGTATTTTTTGCTCTATAAGACTCACTTTTTCCCTCCTAAAAAGTAAGGGGAAATGTGTGTGCGTCTTATGGAGCGAATGCAGGCTGCACAGCTATCCCAGATGCCAGAACAGCAAGAGGGATTGCTGCTTTCACTGCGTAGCGATCCCTCTTGCTGTTCTGGCTTCTGAGATTCAGAATATTTTTTTTCTTGTTTTTCTCCCCCAAAAACTAGGTGCGTCTTGTGGTCTGGTGCGTCTTATAGAGCGAAAAATACGGTACCTTCAGGCCCTGGGCTAAATCTGCCCACACAAATTGATTATTGAGCACTTCTGGGCTGGAAGGAGAAGAAGAGGGCTTCCTACTCTACTTAACTCTTGCTTGGAAAACATGGTTCTCCTGAGGTCTGGCGTATGCCTATATCTCTGGTTCTTCTTTGGTGTTGACTTCTACATGGTCCTATTTTGTCCTTTGATTCTCTTTTGTCCTATGAGCTCACTCAACAATCCTGCTGATGGATCTTTCTAAGAACATAAGAACAGCCTGGCTCTGTTGGATCAGGTCAAGGGTCAGCTTGGAGAAGAGAAGTGTGATGTCAACACATGTCTCTCACATCAGATGCTTATCATTTTCATTTCCGGCCTCATCACCCATGTTATTAACATGGCTTAACTTCAGGCAACAGTGGGGCTGATGGAGACATTGATAGCCTGTTCCTCCATAAGGTTGTCCAATTCTCTGTTAAAGCCATCCAAGTTGGTGGCCATCACTGCTCCTGGGGGAGTGAGTTGTACAGTTTTACTATGTGCAGTGTGTAGAAGGACTTCCTTTCATCTGCCCTGAATCTTCCAACATTCAGCTTTATTGGATTTCCACAAGATGGGGAGAACTTTTCCCTAACCACAACAGGGAGGAAGAGACAATTGGCTGGCTCTGCCTGTCTTTAGCTCCAGTGGCATCTACTGCAAATCCAGCCTCACCTGTCCCAGTGGGCACAAGCCACCATGCAACTGAGCCATGTGAAAAATACAACTGCCACCCATGAAATAAATGTATTCTTAACTTAGGACCGCAAGGAACTGCCTTTTTTAAAAACTTGAACAGCAACATCCCAACTTTTGTTAACTAGGCTCTCTGCCATGACCTTGAAGAACCACCTTGACCACTGCTTATAGATAATTCCTAGTTGCCAACCAAGACAACAATTATACAGAAGATCTGACTTGGTGGAGTGGAGGTTCTGGTCAAGACTCAGTTCAGTAGTCATCTGCGAAAAGGATCCATCCCATTGTCTTTAAGAACATAGTTTCAGCAGATAGCTGTCCTTAACAACACCTTTCTATCCCCCCCCAAAAAAAACCAGTTGTGTCTTTTACTATGCTCTTCCATTGGTCAAATGAATCATTGGCCCACCAGATGTTGTTGGATTCCATTTTCCATCAGTCCCATTGGTCATGCTGATTGGCAGTGGAGGCTGGTCTATTTGGGTGAATGGGACATTGACAACCTCAGTTTCCATTCAGCCAGCCCCCCCCCCATGTCTGCCTACATATACAGGAGATTGCCTTGCGTGTAAGCTTCCTCCTCCTTAGTCTCTATGTTGTCCTGGTAGGACCCAGGAAAGAAGAGGGTGGGGGGAAATTTAGGATGAATGGACTCTTCTTGCCATTGACTCTGGCTCCACCTACTGGTGTCCTTCCTGCCTTCTGCCCCACCAGTCCCATTCTAGGAGCTGTTTTTTTTAATGTTTATGTGATTGTGAAAGCTTTCACTCTACCATTATGGCTCCAGATAGCCTTGGGGCTTCTCTTGCCTTCAGAAAACAACAACAACGACAAACCTGGTGAGCTCTACACTCAGAGGAACATAGAGCCTTTCTTGTCTTCAGGGACCTTCAGAGAGAGAGGGGAAGGAAGGAAGGAAGGAAGGAAGGAAGGAAGGAAGGAAGGAAGGACTGAAATTGACTCGTTTGTTAATTATTACACTCCATTTCTAGGATGCACAGCACCTGCAGGAACAGCTTGTCCGGAGTTTTGGGCTGGGTTGCCATCAGTATGCTGATGACACCCAACTCTATCTGTTGATGGACAGCCATCCCTGCTCGGCCCCAGACACATTGATCAGATGTTTGGAAGCTGTGGCTGGATGGCTACGTGGGAGCCTGTTGAAGTTAAATCCTTCAAAGACAGAGGTCCTTTGGCTGGGTTGACATGATATGGGGTTGGGGGGCCAACTTCCATCCCTTGCAGGGGTGCAATTAGTGCCAGTGCCTTCCGTCAAGAGTTTGGGTGTAATCTTTGACACCTCCCTTTCTATGGAGGCACAGGTGACAGCTTTGACAAAGGCGGCATTTTTTTTCATCTCCGCCGAGCTAAGCAGTTGGTCCCTTTATCTCTCTCGCCCTGACCTCGCCACTGTGATCCATGCAACGGTCACCTCCAGGCTTGACTATTGTAACTCACTCTACGTGGGGCTGCCCTTGAGACTGACCCAGAAACTCCAGCGGGTGCAGAATGCCGCGGCGAGACTCCTTACAGGGTCCTTGCCATGGGATCACATTCACCCAGTGCTATACCAACTGCACTGGCTCCCGGTGGGGTATAGGGTCAGGTTTAAGGTGCTGGTTTTAACCTTTAAAGCCCTATAGGGCCTAGGACCCTCGTACCTATGGGACCACCTCTCCTAGTATACCCCACAGAGGACCTTGCAGTCTGCTAACAACAACACCTTGACGATCCTGGGCCCCAGGAAAATTAGACTTGCCTCAGCTAGAGCCAGGGCCTTTTCTGCCATGGTCACAGCCTGGTGGAATACTCTCCCACAAGAGACCAGGGCCCTGTGGGATTTGACATCTTTCCACAGGGCTTGTTCCGCCAGGCCTTTGGGCAGGATGCAGTTTGACTTACTTTCCTTTGTATAAAACAAGTCCAAAGGAGGCTCCCAACCCACTCACAGGTCCTTGTATGATCAGTGGAAACAGTTGGTCCTGGCAAGTACTAACCACTCTCAGTTCCGACCTGATAATTGCCACCTGCCCAGATTTTAACTTGTCTGAATTAATTTTAAGATGTATTTTACTTAATTGATGTCTGTTTCTATGCATATTGTGTTGTTTTTATGATGTTAGCTGCTCTGAGCCTGGCCTCGGCCGGGGAGGGTGGGATACAAATAAATTATTATTATTATTATTATTATTATTATTCCACTAGAGATACTAGAGAGTGAATCTGGGATATTGCACTTTCAGAGCCTGATCACTGAGTTGTGAGCTCTCCTACCAGAATGATGCTTGGAAGTGACTGTGGGTCAATTTGAATATATATAGCTACCTTATACTGGGAAAGACTATGCGTTTGTGAGAGCTTACAGCCACCCACTATGGATCCTAAGGGTCTTCAGAGCAGCATGAGCATAAGATCATAAGGACATAAAAAGAGCCTGCTGGATCAGGGCAATGGCTCATCTAGTCCACCATCCTGTTATCTAAGTTCCACAGATGCCACCATGGGAAACCTTCAGGAAGGACTCAAGCAGAAGACCCCTTTCCTCATTTGTGGTTTGAGGAAGTTGGTATTCAGATGCAGTACTGCCTCTGAGCTTGAAGGGAGAGCATAGTCATCATGGCAGGAGCCATTGATAGTCTTCTCTTCCACAATTATTTTCCCCAGTCATCATTGAAAGCCATTCAAGTTGGTGGCCATCACTGCCATTTCCGGGAATGCATTCTAGAGTTCAACTATGCTGCCCTGAATCTTCAGCTTCTCTGAATATCCACAAGTTCTAGTGCATTGAGAGATGGGGGAAACCTTTCCTCTAGATGTTGCATCAGCTGCTCCTGATAGTGATTTTATAACTGCTTTGGGTTGGTTCTTTTTTTAAAAAAGAAAACTTTGGTTGGGACAATTGTGGGACAACCTTAGTGGGAAGCAGTATACAAATTTTATAAAGCTGAACCTAAAAGAGGCATGTGGCAGATGGATTGTGATAATGGCAGAGGGGTGATGGAAGAAGACACGACAGATGTGTTGATTCTAAGTAAGCTTTATTTAATCCCTTGCATTAAGGGAGATTGAAACAAGGAAATCAGCAGCAGTGGGTGGATGAGGAAACTCTCATCCACCACAAACACACACACATTCATAAATTACATTGAAGAATGAGCCACACATTGAACATGCAAACATAAAACACCATTGAATAATGGAAGGGCAAAGCAACATGCAGAAGTGTTTTGGGCTTAACATGATGTTGTCAGGACACTGATGTGAACTGGCAAAGTTAGCTTATCTTGGGTTGCTTGGCAAATGTTGCATTTTACTTGATGCTTGGCATGGAGCAGGGCTGCTTTGTTTGCCCAATGCATGCTGGGACGACAATGGGGCACTTGGTCTGCGAGGATCCACCACCAGATCCACCACTGCTGCAGCAGACAGCTCCGCCACTGCCGCTGCTGCAGCAGACAGCTCCTCCTCCTCCTCCACCACCACCACCACTGCTTCCTCCAGATACGACAATGGTTTTCCCACCTGATCCTCCACCTCCTCCACCTCCTCCACCAGATCCTCCTCCAATCACCTTAACCCCACCTGAGCCTCCACCCCCAGATGAGCTACAGCAAACGGCACCACCACCACCACTGCCGCCAGACGAGCTGCAACATACTCCCCCACCAGATCCCCCACCACTTCCTCCACCTATGATGATGGTTTTCCCACCGGATCCTCCACCTCCTCCACCTCCTCCACCAGATCCTCCTCCAAGAACCTTAACCCCACCTGAGCTTCCACCACCAGACGAGCTGCAACAAACGGCACCACCGCCGCCGCCGCCGCCGGACGAGCTGCAACATACTGCACCCCCACTGCCGCCGCTAGATCCTCCACCAATAACTATGGGGATCTTTTGCTGGCCCATGCCACCACCAGATCCACCTCCAACGCAGCACCCAGAAGACTGGCCGCCACCACCACCTCCGGATGATCCGCAGCATACTGCACCGCCGCCGCTAGCTCCACAGCAAACCCCTCCAGATCCTCCGCCAATAACTATGGGGATCCTTTGCTGGCCACCTCCATATCCACCTCCATATCCACCTCCACCACAGCACCCAGAAGACTGGCCGCCTCCACTTGGTATAATGATGATTCCGCCGGACTGTCCGCCGCCTCCGCCGCCTCCACTGCAGCAGCAGCAGCCTCCTCCTCCTCCACCGCCAGATCCTCCACAGCAGCCTCCTCCTCCGCGGATTTGCATCATCCCACCGCCACCGCCACCGCCGCCGCAGCCACCAGATCCTCCTCCGCCTCTTCCGCAGCAGGATGAGCTTTGACTTTGGCCTCCGCCTCCGCCTCTTCCGCAGCAGGATGAGCTTTGGCTTTGGCCTCCGCCTCCGCCTCCAGAGCAGCAGCCACCGCCGCCGCCGCCGCCCCCTGAACCGCCGCAACAGCCCCCGCTTTGTCTTTGTTGGCTCATCTTTCGGCTTCGGTGTGGCAGTTGTTTCTGTGAATTAAGCCTGAAACAAGGCAAAGAATGGTTATGGCACACTGATGACTGCGGTGCTCGTTTCTGAAAGGGCCTAGTGGTCCTCAGGGTGGTCACTGAGGCTGCAGCATCAGGTGGTGGTCACTTGTGCTGGATTCCATGATTGAATAATATATATAGCTCAGGACCAGTTTCCTTGTGAGATTCCCTCTGTATATATCCACTCAACAGCTTTGATCTGTGAAACTGGCACTGTTCCAGGTACCATATAATACTCATTGCACATTTGTAAGAAATGGGGTCCCCCCCCCAACTGATATCAGATGAGCATCCTCACTGTAGTATAGTCTGCCCCTGCCTTAAATGTCATTGTTTAAGCCAGCCTATCCTGAAGCATAGAAGATTGGGTGTGTTTTAATCTGGATTTAGTTTACCCATTATTTTTTTTTTATTCTTCAAATGTTTTTTAAATGTTTTTAACAGATTTCCCCCCCTGATAGCTTTACTGTTTCATTCTTTTTGTAAACCTCTTTTTTGTAAATGATAAAATGGTATGTAAATTTTGCGAGCTATGGATAGATGGACGAGTGGATTGATATGATTCCACCTGTCATGTAAGCATATGTAGGCAGTGCAAAATCAATCAATCAATCTCACACATTTTTTAAAAATCAGCATGTCAGGGTGGAAGGTTCTAATTAACTCCCTGGCCTGTTATGTTTCTCTGATTTTATTGTCCTAGATCACTGCTGCATTTTCCCCTCTTTTGTAGAGTTTTATCAACATTCTGATATTTTGTTTAAAAATATATACTAAGGGTTCAAAACATTTTTTTGCCATCGGTATTGTTATTTTCTGTGCAACCTACATGAAAGGCAATGTCTAAATTAAATGATTTTTTATAGCGGAGGATCCTTTCATTAGGTGATCTTGCTCTGGTGCTTTGAAATGGGGCAACCAGTGACTGATTGACCTCCTCCAGAATCCCTAGCTTCATCTCTCTGTTTTCTGTACTTTCTGCCTAGAATCTGTTCCCTCAGTGCTACCTGGTTGGTTGGCTGCCAGCTAGCAAGCCAAACCATATATCTGGTGTAGATATGGAGGACAGATAATATGAATGACATGACTCCCCTGCACCAGGTAAGCAGGTCTGGCCCTGCAAGCAGGGCATGGATGCATAAGGCTTCTTCTGGGAACAATTCCTCAGTGAACCTTTGTCTGACAGATTTATCCCTTGATAATCATAAAGGATTAAGGTGCCTCTTGGAACAGGTTTAGGTAAGGATGCAATCTCTGGCTTAGCTGCAGCTATCATTCAAGCATTGCTGTTGGGGAGGACACACCAATTCATTTGCTGTGAACTCAGCTGCTCAGGTACCATCACCCATTTCCGAATGGTTCTCCATTCCTCGTTTACATCTATAAGAATGCCCCTCTCCCTCCATTGAATGCAAGGAATTGCACACTGTATCAAGAAGCCAAATCAACCCTTTGCAGCCTCCTAACCAAATAGCATTATCATTGCATCAGTGCATAGCTGAAGATGTTTCCATCCATTCAAAGAAAGGAGGATTATCTGAGCATTGGACTTACCTTGTTTAGCAGATGTGCTGGAATGATGGAGAAGTCTCAATGGATTCGAATGATGAGCTTGGGGACCAGAGATCCTCTTTATACCCATCTTCTGGCCACTCCTATGGGAAGTGAGGCACCCCAGGAATGATGAGTGACACAGTTACAATCTCCCTGAACAGGTGGCCTCTTCCAGCCCAAGATGCCTGACAAGTCATATGAGATCCATATCTCACTTTTGTATCACTAGTTATTTTATGGAATGTAAACAGCTTAATGAAGGTGCTCCACCTAATGAGTAAGTTCCTGCTTTGTAGCGGAGCCTCACCTATTTGTGGGGGCTCTTGATGGGTGACATATGTAAGGATGGGCTTTTTTAAGGGGAGTTGGTGGCTCCTGATAGGCAAATCAGTTTATATCCAGTCCAAATTATGACTGCACTTATTTACCTATAAGTTGAGAGACATTGGTTCTGTAGTGCTTAGAACATTAGACTAGGACCTGGGAGATTGGGGTTCAAATCCCCTTTTGGCGATGAAGCTCACTGTTGTGAGCTTGGGCCAGCCGCTGCCTCTCAGCCTAACTTACCTCACAGGATTGTTGTGGGGATGAATTGAGGAGGGGGAGAACTATGTATACTACGGTACCTTGAGTTCCTGGAGATAAAGGAAGGATTCAATATGTCAGTCAATCAAGTCTCTTCCCTGCTATTTTTATATTTATCCAGCTAAGTTCTACCTAGAGTCAATCTATTGAAAACAGAGGACTTAAATTAATCTATCTGCCGTAAATAGGACAAGCACTGCATTCTCTGTCCCGACAAGTGCAAGCTGTTTCTACATGCACACACCATGTTGTGTGAAAGAGTGTACACTTGTTAATTTGCACCACTCAACAATTGTTTATATTGATACATTGACTGTACAATAGGTGAATATTATATTTGAATAATTTCATGACTGTAGAGACTGTTTGTGTACACGGGTTCAGAGACTGTACAGTTGTTGAGTGTAATGTGTGGACACCCCATATCACCTCAGTGTTTGAGCAGTGTTTGAGTTGTGGCTCCAACATAATTCCAAGAAAATAGAAGAAATAAATAGACATAGCCAATTTTGTGGGATCATTTTCCAGCTCTGGTGATTTATAATATAGTATGAAACTAATGTGAGTTAATATGAACCTACTGTTAAATGGAGTATTTTTTAAAGGACTATGCACACACATACACAAACACCCAAGTATGACTTGAGGCCTGATTTAGGGCTTTGGAGTGGCCCCAATCTGAACCAGGACAATCTGGGGCTGACCTGATCCAGATCTCAGACCAGACACAAACTGGGAGTCTTTCACAGTCTTTAATTTGGGTTTAACTCCCTAATTAAACATGTGAGCAGACAGGCACAGCCTGCTCCTCGATGTCTGACCCCTTTGCAGTTTGAAAGCCCTGGATCACTCCAGTTGGACATGATCTGAACCAGGGTGATCTGTGGTTTCCTCAGCCTGCTCTAGCTGAATCCCATGTTGACCCAAATTGATCCAATTCAGTTCGAGATCTGGGATCACAGTCACACATTAATGCTTTTGAATAACAGTTGCTCAAAATCACAGGAGGGGAGAGTGTTGTTGCATTCATGTCAATCTTCCACAAAACAAAAAGGGAACGCGGTAAGAGGATAGGACATTGAGTTTTTGCTTACATTATTCACATTGTCATCAAAGATATATGTATTTTGCTCATTGCATGTTCCCCAAGCATATTTTCCAAAGATTAATGGGATATGTAGAAAGTTAATTTGGGATAATGGTCCGCTTCCTTTTGATTTGAGAGAATGCAGCTGCCAATAACAGAAGGAGGATATTCCACACATTGCTTTATATTTTGTTAGTTTAGCCAGTGTGGTGTAGTGGTTGGAGTGTTGGAGTAGGACCTGGGAGACCAGGGTTCAAGTCCCCACTCAGTCATCAAGCTCATCACTCGAAGGGTTGTTGTGATGATAAAATGGGGATGGGGAGAACTACAATACAACCTTGGGCTCTTGGTTTGTTTGTTTTTTAATGATATTTATTGAAAAATTTTAAAATTACAAAAGAGAACAAAGCAGAAAGAAAGAAAGAAAAAACAAAGAAAAAACAAACCACATCAAACAATACAAATTCAAAAACAAAAATACACCACAAACACTCAAAAACAAATCCATCATTCTCAAATCCTCAACTGTCATTACCTTCTTTCTTTGACCTCCTCCTCCTCCCTTTTTTGTATCCTAGTTGTTAATTGTCACAGCAAATCCTTTCCATATTTCATAATTTTCTGTCATTACATTACCTTAATCTATTTCAATCTTATCTTACTATAAAGAACCTTAAAGCTTAAAACTTAAATCTTATTTTTACCAACTTCTCATAACCACAATATTCTTACATAATTCTTTAAACATTTTTGCTAAAGCCAAGTAATTTTGTTCCAACATTCTTCTAACATTCATCAATTTTATAAAACAATCCTAGTAGCAAAAAAAGAAGAAGAAATAAATAAAAACAATCCAGTCTTCATCCAGCGTCCCTTCCTCCTGGTCCCGGGTTTTGTCAGTCCTTATTATCCCATCGATCTAGCGCATTAACCTGGTAACCTTGTATCCGAGGCCCTTAAGTCTCTTCCATGTCCCTTCCGCAGCTCTTCTTCATATTTATAACTGTATTTTCCTTTGTCTCCTGCTCCTTTCACTCGTGGGAACTCCAGCTTAACAATGTTTTTGACCCTTCTCGACAAATCAGCCCCTTTTCCATAGTCCACACTAAACTCCATGTGGTATTTAAGAACATGTTTCAAAATCCCTCCAAAATTAAGAGCCCCCACAACCCCAAACATCTCACGGCCCATTGCCAGACTTGAAAGGTCCAAACATCCCTGCATAGGGGGGTCTATCCAACCCCCCATTTCCAAACCAAACCAAACTTTATCTTTCCAAATCTGGCTTTTTCCAAGTTCATTTGTCAAGTCCAAAAGCTCATGTTCCTGCTGGGCCACAGCTCCCTTCATCTCTGGCGCCCAAGATTCAGCAACATCCTCTTCCCTCATCTGTTCTGTCAGGGCACACTCCTGATTTAATTCCTGGGTGGGCTCCGTATAATTTCCCACTGCCTGTTCAAAATTTCTGATCGCATCAGTCATCAAGTCCGTCTTCTCATGTAGCTGTTCCAGTAGGGCATTTGTTTTACAGAAAGCACGCAACAGAGCTTCTGAATACATTGTCCTGCAAGGTCAGAAGTCTA